TTTAATATTTGGGCCCAGCTTCTGCTATCCGAAGCATGTGGCCTGATACAGGTGTATTGCTTACAGAAATATTGAAATACCTTTTATAAGAGAAGTAAGGGAGCCAAAAACCAATATGTTTTTTTCATTAGCTTCTATGAAGGTAGTCTAGAAAAAATTAATAATATTTAAGTGGACTGTTCTAAAATTGGCCCAAACTCTGAAAAACAATAGAACTCTTATGAAAATACTTGTCTAAACCCTTAAATACAGCAATAGAAAAACTACTTTTAAACTTTACTGAATTAATACAGTAAATTTTTAGAGAGTCTAAAAATGTAGTTTATTCTCCTTAAATTCAGGCTAATTAAGTGTCACCAGTATCAGGAACAGTACCACCAGTATATGTGACCTGTTAGGTTCTAGTTAATAGGAAAGATGTAGAGATTCTGTGGATTAAAATATCTTAGAAAATTTTATTGACCTTGTCCTATGCAATGACCATGGAAACCTGAACTGGGGAGAGAAACTATTTTAAAGATCTGAAATTGTCTTTTGTAATCTGCAAACAATATAGCCCCCCTCATTTCACTTTTGTAACCTGTAATAAAAGAAACTAGAAGAGAGTATTTTCACACTTATGTCCACAGAATTTACCTCTTTTAACATTTCATGATCTATAACTGAACCTAGCTACTTAGAGATTTGGAAAATAACAGTGGTATCTTGAAATAATTGTCCGAGAGGAAACGTGTATGCCTTGGGGAGATTTATATTAGATACACAATAGAAAATGGAGGAATACTCAAGATTTTCTCTCCTTAAGAATTAATACCAATTCTAATTGAGGGTTTAATGATTATGCTATTTCATTATTAATTACTTCTTTGTAGAGTCAGGTCTCAGTGGCCTGATCAATACTGGTTAATGCTTTGTGGCAGGGTTCTGAGTTTAGGTTTCCTTACCTCTTTATCCAAGACTTACACATGCACATAAGATACGTGTACTGTTGTCCATTCTGTGTAGTTGTGCATTACTAAGGTGTTCTCTTGGATGGTGTTATAGGGTCTGATCTCATTCATTTTGCCCTGGGTTTGTCTCTTTAATCTCTTTTGGTTATTTTTCACTTAGTCTGTTCTAGTCTCCTTTAACTTCCTTCCCTTTTCACTTTCTGTTTGCTTTAGGAAAATTCATCAGTCAGCTAGTCATTCCTACTTCCTGTCTTTTCTGTGTTTTTTTGATGAGGAAGAAATGACGTCCTTTGCTGATAAGGAGCTGAGAAGATCATAGCTGAGAAGTGAAAAATGTTACTAGTAATGACATTGATATGCCATAAAGATTTTTGTTTCCAAATATTGTAGCTTTTTTTTGGAAACAGGTCTAACGTGCAGGAACCATTAAATATAATGAAATGTTAAAGTGTGTGCAGTAGGAATTTAGAAAAAGAATAGACTACTGTACATTGAAGATGCTTTTATCCAAAGAAGTAAATGTTAAAGTTTTGAAGGTCTAAATTGAGGGGATAAGTACAAAGAGGAAGACCTGAGAACAGAGATTTGAGACATCCTGAAATTACAGCTGGATAGGGAAACTCCCTACTAGAATAAACAGAGAGCCTTTGGAGGAAGGTTGATAGCATTGTCAATAATGAACAATTGTTGAGTGTTTCTTTTCCTGTAACTTTATTTTGCTATAATAAAGTACAAGATATAAAAAAGTATAAGGATAGCTCAAGGGACTCGTCTATAGTTTTTCAACATAGAATAATTTCACTTCTAGAACTTAATATAAATGGATTTACACAACTTACACTCTCTTATTCTTGGGTTCTTTCACAGTACTCTTTTGTGTCCAAATTTTTTTGCTCAGCAGAATGCTGTGGATTTGTCTAAACAATTGAAAATTTTAATAATTCATCTCCTCTTATGATTGGTGGTATTCCATTGAATGATTAGTATAATTTGATAACCTGTTTCCTGTAGACAGAAAATTTGGGTTGTTTTCTTTCTGTAGCTCTTATGAGTAAAGCTGCTATAGAATTCTTGTGAAAGTCTTTTGTTGACATGTTTTTGTTTCTCTTGGCTAAAAGCCTAGGACTGAAATTGTTGAATCATAGTGAAGATTTATGTATAAGGAATTGTCAACCTTTTTTTTTTTAAACACTGGTTATGCATTTTGTCATTTCTACTAGTAATATATAAAAGATTTAAAGGTTTCATTACATGGCCACCATTCGATATTGTTGGTTTTAAATTTCAACCATTCTATGTGAGGTAATAGTGTCTCATTCTAGTTTTTGATTTGCATTTCCCTGATGGCCAGTGATACTAAGCACTTTTTCAAATAATGGTTGGCTATTTATCTTCTTTTTGAAGTATCTATCTTTTTGCCTTTATAAAAATAAGTTATTTTTTTCCTACTTAATTGTAGGACTTGATGTAGTCTGGATAGCAGTCCTTTGTTGGAAATATTTTTGGCAAATATTAGTCTTGGTTTTTTAATGATATTGTGTGATGATTGATCATAAGTTTCTTGATGAAATTTATCAAGTTTTGATTTTCTGGTTATTAATTTCTTTTTCTGTCTTAAAAAGTTTTTCTACTCAGGTTACAAAATATTCTCCATTGTTTCTTCTATCAGTTTTATGGCTTTAACTTTTAGGTCTGTTATCTAATTAATTCTGTGTAGAGTTGTTTTTGAATCATTTGTGAAGACTTTCTCTTCTAGCTGGATTATTGTGGTGTGTCAAAAGTTGATTACATGTAAAAAGTTTGATTCTGTTTGTATACTTTTTTATTGTGCTGGTCTGTTTGTGTAACTTTGGAAGCCGTCTTGATTGCTGTAGGTCTATAGTATTGAAGTCAACTTTTTTTCTTTTCAAAATTGTCATTATTTTAAGACTTCACCATTTCTACTTGAATTATGGGTTAATTTTGTTCATTTTTATTTATCTGTGATTTTTAATTACTTATGAGCTATTAAAATGCCTTCTGGGATTATGATGGTAATTGTATTAAATCGATAGACAGACTTGGGTAAATGGGCATCTTAATAATAGAGTCTTCTATGTGCATTTATGTACTGTATTATATCCTTATTTTCTATTTGATAGTAGCCTTGGCTTTTTAGAGTATTATCATTGAAATAATGCACATAAGGTACATTGGCATGTTTAGCCTGATATATATAATAAGCTACCCTGTAATGTTAATATTTATATTTGGTTCAGTTAGATCTCACAGAGCCTTACAAGGTGCTTTCTGTTTGTATCCATATTGTACTCAGCTTGAAACTTGACAGTGGTTACATGGCTATATCGCTGGTCAGGGTTTGGAAGGAGTCTTTGTGACTCCAGCATTGATGCTTGTATGCCCATGGATGCTGGAAGTCAAGATAGTGAAATTTAAATTATATTTTACAGCATTTTGAGATAGTCTTTTTTGTTAGTCAGCTGTCAATGTGACAAAAAAACTGATATAAACACCTTATAAGAGAAAAGGTTTGTTTTAGTTAAGAGTTTCAGAGGTTCCTGTCCACGGTCTGCTGGCTCCGATGCTCTTGCCTAAGATGAGGTTGAACACCATGGTGGAGACAGCACGTATGGAACGGAGCTGCTCACTTTATGGCACCTGGGGACACAGAAAGAGGGAAGGAGTTGGGACAAAGTATATTCTTCAAAGAAATCCCCCTCTAGTGGCCTACTCCTCAAATAGGCCCCACCTCCTAATAGCTTTTCAGCTATGAACTCATCAAAGAATCAGTTCCCTGGTGACCTTGTGATCAGTCACCTTTCTAGGTGTGACCTCTGAATATTGTTGCCTTGGGATTGAGCCCTCAACATACAGTCTTTGGGCAACATTTTATATTTATACCAGTGTACTGCCAGTACTGGAAGGTTAAGATTACAGTCTCCAACAACAGTACATCTTATATATACTCTTACTCCTCACATTTCCTATTGCAGATCACTTAAATCTGAACACAGCTGAACCTGTCCTGCCATACAGCTTTAAGAAGGTATAGACAGCCTGCTGAAAGAGTCCGATCTGTTAACGCATTGCAGCTTTATATTTGTTCTGAAATGGCACTTATGTGGCAATAATGAAGTAGCAGGCTTTGCTTCCTAAGAATGTCATGTTTATCAGCTTCGACAGTTGCTACTGAGTGGTAATTGGCTGTTGTATATGGAATCTGTTTCCCACAGTGTTCTGAGATGGAACCACGTGGAAAAAGGACTTCCAGTTTTCTGTTCCACACTGCCAGATCCACTGCCTAAGTTGCCTTCGTCGAGACATTGGAGATCTCTCCAGATTTTGCACATGGTGGTGCTGTAGTACATAGCAGACCAAAGTCACATCTGGTCCATTTAGAAGATCACTACTCTGTCTCCATTTTGTCCTTGTGTTTCACAGAGTTTGTTGCTGCTTCTGTCCAGTCCTGCCGAGGTGACGGTACACTTGGGAGGGAACAGTATCATTTGGCATTCGTTCCTACACCTAGGGAGAGTGGACAGAGGAACTGCAAGTTCTGTTAATTACTCAGCAGTCCAAGAGAAAGCAGATACTACTACCTCCATCCTTGGGACAAAAGTAAGATTTTCAAACTGGGCATCGTGGCACATGCCTGTAATCACAGCACTAGAGAGGCTGAGGCAGGAGGATCATTACAAGTTCGAGGTCAGCCTGAGTTGTAAAGTGAGCTCAAGGCCGGTCTGAACTGCACAGTGAGACTGTCTAAAAAAAAACAAAGCCTGGCCACTAAGGCTGAGTACCACCTGCAGGACTCAGAACTCAGAGTGCCTGCCGTGATGGTCTCTGTCACATATAGAACATTATTGTGTTGTAAGCAGAAGACCCAGGGAAAGCATCAGTTGTAACCTTTGGCAGCGCTTAAGTTGGAAAATACTGTACGGTCCTTCTGGAACACAGCTTTGGCTCCTGTGAAATAACCAACCCCAGGACTACTACTTGATTTTCTATCCTTCATCAGAATGTAATGAAAATTATCTTAAATCCTTTTAGGATGCATTGAAGATGGATTTGTTCTGCATTTTCCCTATCTACTTTGCCCTGTGATGTGCATCTTACCTCTATTCAGATGTCTGTCTGAAAAAGTTTTTCCTATAAGTGAAGATTTAGTTATATTATTGTGTTTCACAATCACTTTTCATTTGCACTAAATGGACCATGGAGCCTAATATTCTGAAAACTGGACAGTTCTGTGGGCTCTCTTACAACACAAGAGTTCTTGGAAGGCAGAACATATGTGTTGCATGATGGTGAAGGACCATAAGTGGCAGTGAGGTTGCTGGCATCCAGCTTTGAGTGAGTTAGAGGAGGGATAGGGCTTGGCTTCATGTGTTGGTAAGCACGTGTGAGGCCTTTTACTCATTTATGAATATTATAAAGATGTGTATTTTATGTGCTGGGTTCTTTTTCTTATGTCCTTCTTCTTATCTGCCGTTTTTCATTTTCCCCTTTTGGGGGAAGTGTTAACATGGACCACTCATTTATTTCCTTTAGTTGCCATCTCTGCATCTTAATTCTGAAGCTCCATATTTCTTGTTCTCGGTTTCCATTGTTGGACAGTGTGTTAGAGCTTGACCAGATGCTATAATTTGGGTGTGGAACGTTCCCAGGGCATTTGTAATAAAGGCTTGGTCCTCAGTTTGGCACTATTTAAAGATGGTAGAAACCATTAAGCGAGTAGGGCTTTGTGGGATGTCTTCATGTAAGTGGGGCATGCTCTTGAAGGGGCTGTGGAGCAGTACGTTTCCAGCTGCCATGTGGGTAGCAGCCTGCTCTACAGTGTGCTCCCTGCCATGATACACTGCCTTAGCATAGACCTAGAAGTAATGGGGCCTAGCACCCACCAATTTTATATGTTGATTTCCTCAGGTATTTCATACAGCAATGGGAAGCAGACTAACGCGCCAAGTGAGAAAAGACTTTTTATAGACTTTCTGTTAGTGATACCCAAGCTCTCTCTAGCCATTTTTTCTGACTAACATTGGCATTCCTTTCCCAGAACATACATTCATTTTTCTATCACTGGGACATAGATATTTTGCTCTAGCCACAGTACTATCTGCGCTGATATCCCCTGGTGAATCTGAAACTTAGCAGTATGAGGTATTCCTTGAGTGCCCAACCTGAAGACTCTTGATTTGCTATCCTTCATCAGAATGTAATGAAAATTATCTTAAATCCTTTCAGGATGCATTGAAGATGGATATGTGAAGTTTACTGTGATAAATTTTAAAAATAGCAGAGAACATCTTCCTCTTATTGGAAAAATCGGCCTTGCTTGGAGAACTAATATTTTTGATACCTTCATAGAGGTAAAAAAGTTATTTTATTTTTTGCTTCTGTAGAAAAGGTGTTGGTTGATATATATATATATTTAATTTTGTATTAATTGTCCTTGTGTATATTTGTACACATTCTCATTGTCATTGGCCCTCACTTGATTCCTTTATCAAATGCTTATAGAGTATCTATTGTTCTTTGTGAAGGGTGATGGACTGCAACAGTTTCTGAACTGCACTGCTTGTACCCTCCACTCTTCCCTGCCCTGCCTGTCTGTTCTATAGATAAAATGGATCTAAAAGTTCAACCGGGATTTCCTCAAAACACTTTCCTCCCTGCATATCAGCTTAAAGCTATAAGTTCTTGTTCCAGGATATAAGCATCTTCTTAGTAGTTAAGTAAAATTTAGCCTCGCGGATTGGAGAGTTGATTTAGTGCTGAGCATTGCAAGGGAGAGGAGTGGAGGATGAAGTAAAGGAAGGAAGAGGAAGACTGTTCCCAGGTAGTTTATTCTTTTCTGTGATTCTATGCTTGTGGCTGCCCTGGGGCTCATTACTCTCCATGTTTATTTGATAGAATTAATAGGATTTCATAGTCACAGGCATGAGTGAGCTCATCTCCTAGACTCTTTCTTAGGAGTGTTAATAATGATGACCAAGACCATAACCAGTTATGGAGTATTTATCTCCTGGACCACTTGGTATTTGATACAATAATATGTTTTACTCATCCTACTTATATGTAAGCAAATGTTTGTGTTTTGGTAAAAAGCATGTTTATTACATATGAGCAGATAAAAAGTGCACACTTTGTAGACCTCCATGGAGCTTTGATAGATTTAGATGGGGCTTATTGTAAATATTAAAATCAAAATAGACTTTGAGTATCAAGCAATGTAAAAATAGTCATTTTGTCTACACTTAAAGGGAAAAAGGAAACAGAGTAATTATACCAAGGAACAAAGCTTTACTAAAATCAAAGTCTCCTGCGGAAATGTAGGAAAGGCAGGTGAAATCTTAAAAACATGTTTAGCAGCAAATGCGTCAGTACATTTTCTTTTTTTTCTGGTGCTGGGGAGCAAACTCATGACCTTGCGCTTGCCAGGCAGGCACTTAAGCCACTGAGCTAAATCCCCAGCCTATCAGTACATTTTCTTGCAGCAGTTCTCATAGAAACTGGGCTCAGAGCCTAAAACCAGACCCTCTAGCCGACGGCAGACCATGATTCTTTAGGCTGCTAACACAGTGAATGTAGGTACACAGGATGGCAGAACAGCTGAATCTGACAAGAAGATTGGGAATTCTTGCAGTAGGGAGTGGAAGGCTTGGCTCCAGTCAGTTTCCCTGTGAATTCCTGTTCTTGGGAGAAGGAAGACGGAGAATAGTGCAACAGCCTGTCCCCTGGCTCAGAGCAGAGGGTGAGTAGGCTGATCTGCATTTGCTATTTGTGTAGGGAGTCAGTATGAAGACTAATCTGTCCTTGGAGTTCCCAAAGAAAGAAGACAGGTAAATGATGTCATATTCTTTGATTTTGCCATGCAACTCAAGAGATTTTCCTTTGGGAATATGATTACCTTAAGCATAGTGAATCAATAAAAAGTATTTTAAGAAATTGCTTTCAGTGAATTAAAGACTTTTTTTTTAAGCAAGGGCATAAGCTAGAAAAAAATTCCTTAGGTCCACATAATTACTACAAACAGAGTTAAATGGAAACTGCTTCTAGAAATAGAAGACATAGCCTTTCACATGATGTCTTCTAATACTTTACACATCTGAGCAAAGGTTGATAAGGAAAATCTCTCACCCAAATCTGATTCTGGTTCTTATGACAAAAACAGAAACAAATGAACAAACAAAAAAACAACTGCTTAATGATAAGGAAAGAAGGTAGTACCTGTTTCATCATTTTCTTTGAAGGAACATGTAGTCCTGGCAGGGATCTCTGATTCTTTGGACTTCACTGTTCCCATAACAAAGTTCTTACCTGGAGCTCAGGCATGCAGTTACATTTAACATTTGCTGACACTGATAGGAAGCATCCTGAGCTGGAGTCCTTGGAGTCTAACTTAGGAGCTCACACAGTGCTGTGGTAGACTGTTCGATTCTAAAAGCAAAATGATTATACTATAAGCAGACTAGTCTTTTTTTTTAAAGTCAGATTATGATACCAAATGTATCTTAAAGATGCTTAGCATGACTGATGTCCGTAATGAATCCACACTGTACAGTTGCTTTTTGGATGGCTACTGTGTTATTTTTTGAAGTCATTTTGGATATCTAGACTACACTATTATAAAGCAGTTATGCTGCAACCTTCAGTATAATTGACAGTAAAATACTCTTATGATCTGTCATTCTCAGTTCTCCCTAGAATTTCTGCCTGATGAATTTTCTTTTGGTAAGGCTTTTCTTTATGTCTTTTATGTTTTTCTTTCGTGTTTTGATATATTTTATTTTATTTATTTGTTTATTTATATATTTTTGTCTTTTTGAGACAAGGTTTCACTGTAGTTCTGGCTGGTCTTGAGCTTACTTGTAGCCCAGGCTAGTCTGGAACTTGCAATGATTGTTCTGCCTCAGCCTCCTGAGTGCTATGATTATAGGCATGTGCCCCCATGCCTGGCTTTTTTTAAAAATGTGATTTTAATATTGCTTCTAAATCTATATGGAGCTTGGCATCAATTTTAATTTAAAGTAGATATTTTAGGATAGTTCTTAGGTTCTGTTTTATACAGGAAGAGTTGAGTTCAAACAGCCTGAGGTCATTCTGAGCTCATGGGTTCAGCATGTTGTGGATACTTGTGCTTCATACCAAGGGTGCTTTGGCTAGTTTACTCAGTAGTGCTGAGCTGGCTGTATGAGGACCAAGGCGGCTGGTTCCAAGAGAACAAACACAGTTAAAAGAACAGGGCATACATGGCAGTGTTGCAGTCCCCCAGAGTTTTGAACCTGGCATATTTATAAGTCCAGGAGCTGACGTTAGCCCTGTCCTCAAGATGCTGGAGTCTGGTCCTCCTGGTCCTTATCATGCTGACTAATCCTCAGTATGCAGCCGTGTCATATTCTTCCAGTCTTTTGGCATATCTTGTTCCCTTTTTTCTTTCCTTTTTTGATGACTCAAATTCTTTTCATCCTTTATGACAAGACTTCATTTTATTTATTCTTCATCAAATATTTTTTAATTACTAAGGGTTGTACTGAGCTAGGTGTTCAGGCATAGGAAATGAGACCTGAAGAAAAGCACAACACACAATACATGGTATGTCTCCCCATTATACTTCTGGTCTGCTGAAATGGGAGTGTCAGGGAGACTTCCTGGAGGGTTTGGTGTTGAACTGAATTCCAAAAGTCAAGACAAATGCAGGGGAGAGGAGAGTGCTCAGGTATGACCTTTTGTCAGATGAGAGCATGGCATGTTCATGGACTGGAAAAAAGGTTGATTTGGTGGTGGCACACACAGATGGCAGGAGGAAGCATTTCATGAAGTGAGGGTAGATGGACAGATAGACACAGATAGTGCTTATTGGCAACAGAAAGGAATTTTGGTTTTTTATTGAAAGTAACAGGCACGAAGAAGGATTTAAACTGTGAGTGACATGACCAGAGTTGAATTTTATGCAGATTAATCCCCTGAACACAGATGATGGGAGTGAATGGAAGGAGGTCAGTTTCTGTTGTGGTTCCTTAAAGAAAGGGCAGCTTGTTGCCAAAGTACCAGGAGCTAGGTGGCTTTTAAACAACAGACAGCTTTTTCTTACAGTTGTGTAGAGTGGGAAATTAGGATCAGAACACTGGCAGATTCTGGTGGGGAAGATCTGATTTCTGGTTCATGGATGAGATCCTCCCACCATGTCCTTATGTGGTGGAAGGGGTGAGGCATCTCTCTGGGGTCTCTTTTCTTTTTTTTTTTTTTTTTTTTTTTTTTAATTTTATTTTGAAAGTAGTAAAATACAACAGAACAAGACAGAATAAAGCCAACTAAGATCGTACAGTGAAATTGGTACAGAACTTCAGAGCAGGTTACCGGGATAACAGTAGTAGGTGTCACAGTACATTTTGTTATCTTCACAATAGTTGTTCTTTCAATCACATATATCAAAATAAAATGAAATACAGAACATTATAGAACTTATCAAAACAGAATACTGAATAGAGCAGTACCATTAATCAGAATAGAACAAAACAGTAATAAAAATATTTGCCTTCAAAGAGATGGTAGAAGGAAATCTCCCTTATTTGTTATGGTCATCCTCCCAGGAGATGCTCAGATTTTTGGTTCCCATTTGCTAATGGGGGGACAGGAGAAGTGGGTAGGGGAAGTGGGATGTTTGACTCTAGGCCGTGCACCAGTAGGTTCACTGTTGCTTAGCAAGGAGGCAGTCTGGTTGCTTGGTTTCCCAGCTTCGTAAGTTGCAACATGGTGTGGATCTCAGAAGACACTGGTGGTTCTCCCCCTGGAGGGGCTGTAGTCTGCCACACTGCAGCCGCTTACCAGGGAGGGGAGGTGCTTGCTTGGCTTCCCAGGGTCCTAAGTGCCAACATGGCAAGGATCTCAGGAGCCACTGGTGGTTCTCCCCCTGGAAGGTCCATAGTCTGCCACACCACCTCCGCTTACCAGGAGGGGAGGTGCTTGCTTGGCTTCCCAGCATCCTATAAGTTCCAACATGGCATGAATCTCCTAGGGCCTCTTTTCTAAGAGCACTAATTCCAGTTTAGTGGACTGATCCTAGGTTTGGCTATAGTCATGCTGAATTAATTCACCAGACTTTTGAAGCATCTAGGATGTTGAGCAGGTATCTGAGCTTAGAAAGATGGTTCCACCTGGAGATAGAGTTAGCATTCACAGGCACAGTAGTTATAGTTCGAGTTGTGGGTGTGAACAGAGTCTG